CATCGCTTTAATGATAACCAGTTATGATTTAAATTTGACATTGCTTTAATGTTAACCAGTTATAATTTAACCTTGACATTGCTTTAATGTTTACCATTTATAATTGAACTTTGACATCGTTTTAATGTGTACCTGTTATCATTGAAATTTGGCATTGCTGTATTGTTAACCAGTTATATTTTTTCTTTGCCATTTCTTTAATGTTAACCAGTTATAATTTAACTCTGACATTGATTTAATAATAACCAGTCATCATTGAACTTTGACATCGCTTTAATGTTATCCAGCTATCATTTAACTTTGACATTGCTATAATATTAACCTGTTATCATTGAACTTTGACATTGCTATAATATTAACCTGTCATCATTGAACTTTGACATTACTTTAATGTTAACCAGTTATAATTTACCTTTGACATTTCTTTAATGTTAATCAGTTATAATTTACCTTTGACATTTCTTTAATGTTAACCAGTTATAATTTACCATTGACATTTCTTTAATGTTAACCAGTTATAATTTAACTTTGACATCGCTTTAATGTTAACCTGTCATCATTGAACTTTGACATCGCTTTAATGTTAACCTGTTATCATTGAAGTTTGACATCGCTTTCATGTTAACCAGTTATAATTTCACTTTGACATTTCTTTAATGTTAACTAGTTATAATTTAACTTTGACATTGCTTTAATGTTTACCTGTCCTCATTGAACTTTGACATTGCTATAATGTTAACCTGTTATCATTGAACTTTGACATCGCTTTGATGTTAATCTGTTATCGTTAACCTGTCATCATTGAACTTTGACATTGCTATAATGTTAACCTGTTATCATTGAACTTTGACATCGCTTTAATGTTAACCAGTTATAATTTAACATTGACATCGCTTTCGGGTTAACCAGTTATCATTGAACTTTGACATTGCTTCAATGTTAACCAGTTATCATTGAACTGTGACATCGCTTTAATGATAACCAGTTATAATTTAACTTTTACATCGCTTTCAGGTTAACCAGTTATCATTGAACTTTGACATCGTTTTAATGTTAACATGTCATCATTGAACTTTGACATTGCTTTAATGTTAATCTGTCATCATTCAACTTTGATATTGCTTTAATGTTAACCTGTCATCATTGCACTATGACATTGCTGTATTGTTAACCTGTTATAATTTAACTTTGACATTGCTTTAATGTAAATCTGTCATCAGTCAACTTTGACATTGCTTTAATGTTAACCAGTTATCATTGAACTTTGACATCGCTATGATGTTAATCTGTTATCGTTAACCTGTCATCATTGAACTTTGACATCGATTTAATGTTTACCTGTCATCATTGTACTTTTACATCCCTTTCATGTCAAGCAGTTTTCATTGAACTTTGACCTTTCTTAAATGTTAACCAGTTATAATTTAACTTTGACATTGTTTTAATGTTAACCAGTCATCATTGAACTTTGACATTGCTTTAATGTTAAACTGTCATCCTTGAACTTGGTCATTGCTTTAATGTTAACCTGTTATTATTGAACAGTGACATTGCTTTAATGTAAACCAGTTATAATTTAACTTTGACATTGCTTTAATGTTAATCAGTTATAATTTACCTTTGACATTTCTTTAATGTTAACCAGTTATAATTTACCATTGACATTTCTTTAATGTTAACCAGTTATAATTTAACTTTGACATCGCTTTAATGTTAACCTGTCATCATTGAACTTTGACATAGCTTTAATGTTAACCTGTCATCATTGAACTTTGACATTGCTGTAATGTTAACCTGTTATCGTTAACTTGTCATCATTTAACTTTGACATCGCTTTAATGTTAACCTGTTATCATTGAACTTTGACATCGCTTTCATGTTAACCAGTTAACATTTAACTTTGACAACGTTTAAATGTAAACCAGTTATAAATTAATTTTGACATTTCTTTAATGTTAACTAGTTACAATTTAACTTTGACATTGCTTTAATGTTAACCTGTCATCATTGAACTTTGACATTGCTATAATGTTAACCTGTTATCATTGAACTTTGACATTTCTTTCATGTTAACTAGTTATAATTTAACTTTGACATTGCTTTAATGTTTACCTGTCATCATTGAACTTTGACATTGCTATAATGTTAACCTGTTATCATTGAACTTTGACATCGCTTTAATGATAACCAGTTATAATTTAATTTTGACATCGCTTTCAGGTTAACCAGTTATCATTGAACTTTGACATCGTTTTAATGTTAACATGTCATCATTGAACTTTGACATTGCTGTAATGTTAACCTGTCATCATTGAACTTTGACATTGCTATAATATTAACCAGTCATCATTGAACACAATATCATACTTTTGTTTAATGTTAACAATGTTATTGATGTTATACTTTACGTGTACACAGAAAATGCGCTAGTGGTAACTTACTGTTATAAGTATACGCAGCCGCTATATTGTGTGACCTTACTACTATCTAAAGTATCCATGAAAGAGTTCATATAATAGTTACTGCTGGACCGAAAAAGAAATCAAAATTGGATTTTTAAAAAGAACGAATGTTTTAACTAAAATTGTATGACATTAAACAGGAATATCAGACAGTCTTTGATGACAGGAAAAACAACGTATCAGCATTTTAACAACACATTTTGTTAAACTGTAAATTAAAATAATTAATAAGAAAAATGGACAGAAATAACGATAACAAAATACTAGTAGAATAATATACCATAATTTTAGCTCATACGCAAAACAAGTTAATGGGGAAAAACAGCAGGAACTAAGGAGACATCAAAACAATGGTTAACACAACAGGAACTGAGGAGACATCAAAATAATGTTTAACACAACAGGAACTGAAGAGACATCAAAACAATGGTTAACACAACAGGAATTGAGGAGACATCAAAACAATGGCTAACACAACAGGACCGGAGGAGACATCAAAACAATGGTTAACACAATAGGAACTGAGGAGACATCAAAACAATGGTTAACACAACAGGAACTGATGAGACATCAAAACAATGGTTAACACAACAGGAACTGAGGAGACATCAAAACAATGGTTAACACAACAGGAACCCTAACAACGAATCAGTTGCTCAGAAAGAGTAAGTATTGTCTGTAAAAGTAAAACAACAGTAGGTCGTTCTTTATCATGTAAATGCCACCTCCCGGTCTACATTGGGTGACGATATACTATCAAATGGACGATCATGTTAAATGCTGACTGAAAAAGACAGTACAGGTTTACAAGGTGAAGCCTAAAACTGATTTTATACAAAGTGTTCATCGTTGCGGGAGCTTATTTCGAACCTTTCTTTAAGTTAATGTTTAAGTGTGAAATGAAGACGAAATACATATCTCAATGAGAGAAATATATTCTTTCTGGGAGGATGTTCAATTAGCTACTTCTATAATTACATCATATCGTTTATGTATATCAGCATAGTTGCGTCGCCCACAACACAAAATTGTGTAGTTTGGCAGTTTTAATCACCTGTTCCAATTTGAGTACAAGCCTTACTATAAGACTGAGATCTACCTGATAGAAATTGCTTTAGTCCTTGGCTGACCGGGCACGAACCACTGATAAACAAGAATGAAGTCATTGGGTGTAGTTGTCGTCATAGGCATCTTTGCAACATGCAGTGCTTTTGTGTTTTCTGCTGGTAAGTTAAGACATCATTCTACAAAAATACTTTATTTCTTTTAGATTTAGTGGAAAATTGCGCTTGTTTAGTGCAAGTTATCAGTAGATCGTAAACATTATATATTAAATATAATGAATTGCCATTTTGTAGTTTTTTAAAGTCAATTCGCCGTTGTTTCTAAGTATATAATTAAAGAAATAAGTGCAACATAATGTTAAACGGAAACCTTATTGAAGAAAGAAAAAGAAAAAAAAGTCCTCACTGAGAACTCCAAAGTATTCTTCAGTTTTCTGGCTTATCATACGGCTATTTCTAGATGCAATATTTAATTGATTATTGTGAACTAAAATACCGTATCCTAAGCATTGTGATCAGCCGATGTAAGATATTAGTAGAGATCTTGGTTACTAGTCCAATATTTACATTCTGTATGCTTGGACACATCGACGAAAAAATCATTTATTTTTGCATAATACACGTGATCTCATCACAATGCGTATTAATACAATGTCGGACCGCATCACGGAATACAGACGTGGTTTGTTAACCGTCCGATGTAAAGCCGCCCTTAGTGTCATCTCAAATTATTATTATTAAACATTATTGCAATCATTGTAAAGATCAAATTATTTGTTTAAAAGAAATAGAAATAACATATAACGTGCAATATTCTACAAATGATTTGTTTTAAATTGATCTGTCTTTGGTGTGTTTTGTGGTCATGCTGAAATTTCACATGTTTCCAAGTAAGCAAGGCGATCTGTCTATTGCGCTGCCTGATAAATGAATGAAAAAAACCCAGCTGCATTTTGTTTGAAAGGTCAATATAAGTCGTCGTATTCTTACAGAAAAAAACTCCGTGGCAGATTATAAATCCAAAGTACTTAGAATCTACGTATACAGTAAAGTAAATATGATTATTTTCCACCACTACGTGCACTGCTTGTTATTGTTGGTGAAAAATACCTAAACACGAATGTAAGACGCCGCTACAGCTTCGTACAGTCCTCTTTTCATATGATGACAAAACGTACATTCAAGATCTAGCATTTTTATTTCAGAAAAAGAATTAATTTATTACGAAGTACCATAATATTGGAATTAGGAAACAAATATATATCTGATGTATCCGTCAGTTTAAACACTCTTCCAAGTGCTGCAAGTAACCATGTCTATCTATCCAGGCTGTTTATGAAGCATTATGTATACCACTGGCCACTGGTCTTGTGATTAAATAAGGTGGTCGTTGTGGAAGTCACATGAGAATTGTCTGTAACGAATGATGTAATGGAGTATTTTTAACCAATATTTAACGGTTGAGTTCTTTCATTCAAAACAGTGACACGGATGTACTATGGTCTCGTGATATACACATAGTCATATGACTAGTCTGAGTATAACGTAGTAGTAGTAGTAAAGATGTGGGGAATCTTGGCGATTTCGTTGTGCTTTATTAACACCTTTAGCACCGGATACGTAGTAAATTGGTTTTCTAATGAAGGTATGTATGCAAATATTAGCAATTTGTAACCGGTGATGTATTTCTTTGTCTACGTGCATTACATGTGGTTAGTCCAACGTAGCCTGTTTGAAATTAAAAACAATGTTCGTTTGTTTGTTTTAGGTCCAGAATGGGACAATCTCAAAGGTTAGTATATACAGCTGGGGGAATCGGTTAGCTTTTACTGTCCAGAATGGTGTATTCACTGTAACTGTGAAGGGTTGTTCTCGCATGAACGAACAGGTATACAATGAAGTTACCTTATGGTATAAGACAGGTAATCATTATATGAAACACAGTGTTTACCAATGAATTAGAAGAGACCATTGACCCTCACAGCGACTGTAGACTTTTATAATATATATTTTATTTTGTCAATATCTTAAAAGTATAATTTACTCGCATTTGAAATATTCTTACTTGCTTGCATGATAGGACATACACACTTAAGGATTCCGAATAACATGTCACGTTGTACCTTACACGTCCATGTGTCTAGGATTCCGAATAACATGTCACGTTGTACCTTACACGTCCATGTGTCTACACTCTGTGACATATCTACTTTCTATGCCTCTTAATGCTTGTCTCTGACAAGTCGATTAAAGATAATGATAAAAAGTTTACAACCTTTACTTATCACTCGTTAGAGTACATGCGTACTAGTACTGTTCATGTCACAGAATCCTACAATTATATGTTAGTCTATACTACATGTAGTGCTGTTCATGTCACAGAATCCTACTATTATATGTTAGTCTATACTACATGTAGTACTGTTCATGTCACAGAATCATACAATTATATGTTAGTCTATACTACATGTGTAATGAATCTACACTAATAAGAAGCATGCACGTTGGTGATCTTCGTATGAATATAGGGTGACATGGAGTTTAGGTTTTCTTGAGTATCTACAAGTCTGCCAGAATAAAAACGAACAATCTCCCAATAGTTATAAATATTGTTACACTTTGGTTGATTAAAATAAAAGACGCATCCTTGAAGAATTACATGTTTTACTCTTTTTTAAATGGTGGATGATATCAATAGTTCATAATTTGTAATTAATGAATTCTGTGACAAGACAATAGTAGACATAGATCGTGATGTACCTATTTCAAATTAACATTATCTTTCTTCACATGGACAGTGAAATGGGATGTGAATTTGTTAAGTCCCTACACCTTCGCTGAAATGCCGAGAACCACTGCTGATGCTTTGTCTGAAGGGTTCGTGATGGTTACAGACTGTGGAGGTAAGGTCATTATAATGTCGGCTCCTTATAACAACAAGTACTTAGACTTATCTAGTATCCACGTATACCATGCCAACATAAGATCATGTTATGGTACTGATACAGTAACAAGATAAGTGTAGTTATGGGATTAATGTGTCACCCTGGTTAAGTACTACCTGATTCCTGCCATCTCTGATACGGATAATTTCACTGTAATAGAGATAATTTATTGTCAATGGACTGCGTTAGGAAACGATTTTGCATATTATCAGCGTTACAGCACAATGCTCATAAAATGAGTCAGGAAGCACCTGTTAAATAATTCAGCAGGCCGATCCAGAAAGCCAAACAAAGTCTGCTACATGTATTACAGCACCGCATGTCTATTGCCTCCATCTTAAGACTCTTAATTGGTACTGCACGTGAATGTTATACTAATGAAAACCCATGTGTTACGAACCAGGGGAAGGGGATTGATACAATGTATAAAAAGAAAAGAAAAACCATTATAATCTTATCAACTTACACTCATGACTACAAATATTAATAATAATAATAATAATAGTCTTTATTTAAACTTGATTACATATACTTTGAGTCATCTAGTATTCACGTACGCCATACCAATAAACATAATGTAAGTTCGCGTTATGATACATTGACCTGATACATTAGCAAGATAAGTGTACGTTTGGGATTTATTTGAGTTATATTGGTGTGGTTAGACCCAGCCCTGACTTATCAACAACTGTGCAGAATTATTCAGTTACAAAAAGATAGTAGTTTCCAAACTTGAAAAACTTGATAAAGATAGCACATCCCTTATAGTGTGCAATCATCAATTTCTGTGGTATGGAAGAAATAACATCTGTTAAAAAGGTCTTTTTGCCGAATTCATTTGATTTATAATTCAATTGAAATTATCATAATTAATTAACTTTAAAATGGAGTAAGATATATCCAGCTTATTTTATAAATGAGAAATATATCGGAGGTCGTTTAATACCGGTATAATATATAAGTTGGCTTCCTGCTGAATTTTGATATATTTATATTGTTGTCTGTTTAAAGTAATGTTTCACAACATATCTAAAGCATAGGGACATTGCATTATGAAACAAGTATTTTATGCTAATTCATTTAGTACTGTTTTTCGTTTTGATACAAATCAACATCCTATCCCACAGTCTATAATCTATCCAGGGGCTCATAATACTGTACTCAATTATGAAACTGATATAAATAACTATAATTATAATAATTATCATAATACTTATCTCAATTGTTATATCTATTTGAATAGTTACACTTATCTCAATTTTCTTTTTACATTTTAAATGTAACTGCGTTGTAAATTTGTTTCAGTTTTTCCTTTTTAAATCTGAAGTATAAGCATACAGAATGAACCTCTCATAAACATACGGTATGTTGTGTTAGTAGACTTACCGCTGAATGCTTATAAATATATCAATTATACAGCCATTCCTGGTATCTACGGGAAACGTTTTGTGAAGGGAGGGGACTTGTCGCTCGTGCTGTTGTACGGTGTCAATGGCTACATCGCTGGGATTCAGATAGGGGTAAGTTTACTGTAACATAACCACTGGACACGCATGAGTAAACACACACGCTAGTATACACGCTGACATTGTAACGTATTTGACCACAATTTACAAACCATACCTTCTGAGAATGTTCCGGGTATGTTCCGGGAATTATCTGAGCTTATATACATATGAACTCATTATATGCACCAGAGCTCTCATAGATATTTGCATTATGGTAATTTTGATGAGGTCGCTTGACTAAACTTCAAGCTATTCATATAAGATTGATATAAATCTCAGATTTTTTTTTTAAACTTTTCAGCTGTAAATATAATTTTGTTAATATAGTTACATAGGTATGTATTATCTCCCCTTCATCATTGAATCTCATTGCAAGTCCTTCATGTAGTTAGATTAATTGACAAAATCGTACATTCTCTCCCCTTCATCATAGAATCTCATTGCAAGTCCTAGTAAGATTCATTGACCAAATCGTACAAGTACATGTATGTTGTTAATGTACAAATACATACATTAGTCACCATGGTAATATTGCTGTAAAGTCACGTGTATAACTCCTCTGGATCAGGAAATGAAAAAAGACAATGATAATTAAATAACAAACATGATTGCCACTTATTCTTTATCTTTTCCTCGTTGTAAATCGTTGTCGTACATAACTCCATTTTCGTATAATTTACGGAGTAAACACTAGCGTAGTGCATCCAAACCACCAATATGAACAGTTTCGGACGAGAACGATACTCTTTTCCACGAACAATATTGATTGACTTAGAAGTTTCTTTCACTTGTCGTGTTATTCATGTCCTTCTAAAATGTATTCAATGTTTATTATCCTAGGTGAACAAGACTAGCGAGCCCGCGTTCCCCCCTCCCAAACAGATCAACCACCCCTTCGTGAGTGTCGGCAATACATACTACCTGACGGCCTACTTCATCAATCCAGGTAAATTATAGACAATGTACTTCATCAATTCAGGTAAATGATAATACACCAGATACTACTTGACGGCGTACTTCATCAATCCAGATAAGTTGTAACACAAAAGAAAGTACCGGACAGCGTACATAAAAAATCCAGGTAAATAATAATACAATCGATACTATCTGACAACGTACTTCACCAACCCAGGTAAAATGTATCGTAATATAAACCCACCGACATAAAATGGTAAAGAAAGTTTTTATATAATAATGGTAAAAACTGAAAAGTAATAATTCATGTTTCACGTCTGCCCGTGTAATAATTCCATTTTTTTCTTTATCACTGAAACCGCACTATATGTTGACAAATATATACGTCGTACATAATTATTGTCTGGCTTTCAGAATATTTTAGTTTTCTTGGTGAAACGATAAGTACATTTCTGACAATTTTAAATTGATGTTATCAAAATACTTTAAAGAGATGGCATTGCTTTTCTGCCCTCTAATAATAAGTTTCTAGAGTTATGTCTATTCTTTTTATAGGATGATAACTTGTATGTTGATTAATAACAAGGATGAGGGGTTTCCAAAAATACTGTGTGAGAGTAAAACACAGAAAATAGACATAACTCATGTTAATGGAAATATCATCATATGGTCATATCATATATTATAGCGCGAGTTTGCACTACTGGGAGGACAGCTGCTCAGTTCGCCGCCAATGGAACTGGTGACGCACTCTATATCCAGAACGGCACAGACGCTGCACTGAGCTATCTGGTAATTCCGAGAAACGAAGCTGGTATGACTTCAACCAAATGGACAAAGGGACACTGCTTCTACAGCATGGGTACGGTATAGCTGTGGTACATCTTCCTAGGTATATACATGTGTAGTAGGACTGAATGGGCATGATACAAGAAAGCAGTAACAATTTAATTATGATTCCAACAAAATACCGCCACGATAAACCTTTCGCAAGATTTTTGTCCATAGGTCATAGTTAGAATATTTAAGCGAATGTCATAGTTTGGTGATTATATTGATTATGGGATATATTTGAAATTACATAATAATGTAAATGAAAATCAAATCTGATTATAAATTAATACAGATGATCGATAAAAACGCATTCATATGAAAAAATAATTATCTAGAAAACACAGAAACTTTGACAAATTATTCCTCAAAGTACTTGCTGATGGGAATCGAATTACCGGTATTTTTATACTAAAACACCATTTTTAACCTTAATATGTATATCTCATTCAACGATATGTAAGGTAGTCTTTGACTTAATGATATACATCCATCACGCTGTTGTCTAGTGAGCCTATGTCTATTACTAGGTGAACATTACTGGTACAATGTCAAGGCCGACATGAGCTGTGACGATTTTTTCCCTGTGTTCCTCCTCTATAACCAAGGGAAGCTGAACGCCTTTGGTTGGGCTGTCGGTACCAGTATGACCTCCGAACGCATGGAGCATCCTCCGGCTAGTGTTATTAAGGTAATAAATAAGATAGAAAAAAGATGACGATATTCTTAAACCAAATTATATGTTGACAATGTCTTCTGTGAGTGTATGTCTAGACAGCTCAGTGTTAGCACCATCGGTGTAGTGTTCTTAGTAGCATTGTGTAGCGTAATCTGAGATAATATTCAGGTCAGCTACTAAATGTGATGACATGGGTTATTTTAATTCACACATCAACGTAGAGACCAATTACGACCACACCCATAGAAACCATAAAGGTGTGCTTTATACGGTTGATCACGAAGCGAATATTTTGATTTTTAATTAATGGTGATTATTAAAACATTTGATAACAGATAACAATAGTGCTGTATTAAGCAGATAAAGATCAGGTTCTGTTCATTAAACCCGGGCGATTATTTTGTTATATCAACTGCAAATTACAACAGCGTGCCTTCTGTGCCTCTCCTGGTGGGGTATAGCAACTATATAGGATTGCATTTCTGTTCACTGTAGTTAATTTGTCAGGTAAGTATCAGTAATGTCATACATTGTTTCTCTCTTTATAACCTTAGCGTCGATGTAAGGATTGTATCAATGAATCAATAAAATGTCCCATTCATTATTTTTTACAGAGGTTCATAGATCCGGTACCCGAGTGTCTGCTGAAGATTCCCCAGCTGTCCACCATGCACATCTACCTAACCAGCTCACCATCCGATAACTTCTGCTGATTGGTCCAGATCTAGAATATGTTCCTACAAATAATGAAAAGCGATTTCCTCCTTTTCAATGACCAGACATTCCTTCTGTTAATATCAGTGACGCTGGCAAGGAATCCATCAATTATATTTTGTTTCTCTGTCGTATCATATTTGAATATTTATGTCTGCATTTGTTTATATAAAAATACATTCCTTCGCCTAGTCGTTCCTTTGACCATTCGCCACTATCATACAATGTTGCCAGCCTCTGTTGTTCACTGTACCATTCAGAAACGTATTTCTTTTACAAACAACATTTTATTCATCTTGGGTAATAGGAACCCTTGAATGTATAGCATGCTTTTTTCAAATACGTTAATAGAGAAGGTGCAGTATACAAATATCTCAAAAGTTACACGTGAGTGTACTAAAAAGTTACACGTGAGTGTACTAAAAAGCTAACTTTGTATTCTCATAGAAATATGACCCCGGGTTGCTGTGCATCTGATTCAAACAAAACTGGAAAAACCAAGGCGACGTAAATGTAGTTGATTATTGCCAATTGAAGATATGTACGAGAATTTGAAATTCGCTTAAAACTGCTTGAGAAGAGAAACAACTTAAAATAAATATTTTTTGTGCTTAGGTAGTCATAAAATAATTATCATATCATACATGCATTATTGTCAATCTGTCCTTCGCATGTTATATCAATATATGTTCCCATATAAGGGACGTATCAAACAAATTTAAATGTATTTAGAATATATTCACATCAATAAATAAATAATCTATTTTATAGAGTGCTTTTTAATTCTTCATTTCTAAATACGATTTTAATAGATCCATGATTTTATTCAAATGAGTAAAACATATATCTCTAACTGTTTAAACACTTAACATTAAAACAGATCATGTGTGACAAGATATTACGATGACTATTGATGGTATTTCGTTATTTTTGGTTATAAACGAGATACGCCATCTGGCTCAGGTTTTGTGCTAGATTAGGAACCAACCACTTCCTGGTATGTACCATAAAAGATGTAACCATACTTTACAATTTGTGTTTTAAGGGATTATATTTAGTGTGCCCATATACAGCTAGGCACGGGGTAAGCCTGGAGATTTACCCACGATTAATTCTTACCACCATCAAGATCCTCAAAATGATACCCGTAAACGTAGGGTATATGTATAAGCACATGTGATCTGACAGTGGTACACATATGATCTGACAGTGGTGCACATGTGACCTACCAGGAACACCTCCAAATAAGACGCCAGTGTCTCCCCTTACAGGAAGGATTATTTAATACGTCACTTCCTTGTTGCCTGTCGTACTAACCTATCAGAAACCAGGCCACTATTTAATTACTTACTTTTATTTACTAGTGCGTTAATTATTTTGTTTTTTCTTTTTCTAAAAACCGGTGACAGAGATATTAACATTCGAAAGACGATCATTTCAATCAGATCAGAAGACTTTTTAATGAAAATGCGAAGTTGTTTAGAGGTTTATTAACAAACATCTCTTTGCTACTGTATTTATTAACTGTTACATATATAACATACTAAATAAAATCCTTAGGAACAGTACTGAAACATTAACCACTAATAAAAATGATGTATTATCCTGTTATATGTAACAGTGGAATTCAGTGTGTGTAATTATTTAGCAATCGTTCATTGGGTTAGTTAACCACTAATACATATGACGTATTATACTGTTATATATAACAGTGGAATTTAGTGTGTATAATTATTTGGCAATCGTTTATTGGGTAAGTTAACAATGTTGGCAAAGACTTGTCTTCGTCATACGATTGATCCCCTTGATTAAGACGAGGAAGCCTAGTCATCGGTATTTCATTTGTAACTTTTAACCCCACAAGGAATACTACATATATAATACATAGGTGCGTATGTATTGTCACGGGCGTTCGTATAATCATTATTTTGCAACAGTTTTATTATATCATTGAAATTCAACCTCAACTTCTCATTTTTTCTTTTAGAAATTAGCTGCATTTTTGATAATGCATCTGGGGAAGTTCATTATAAATCACTTTAAAGTACCTGATATATTTAAAAGAAAATACAGTAAAGCCCCGTTTTAATTAATGGTGAAACCTCACTATAAAGTACAATATTTTTTTTCAGTAAAACATCTATAAAACGCAGCCTTCTTTATATACAGTAAAACATTGATTTATTGCACAACACCACTTGTTGATAAACAGTAAAACTGTAAAAGAATGTAACTTGTTTATAGGCTATACACCTCAATTTAAGACTTTTCGGGTATGATTTATTTGCATCTTTTTAACCTCCAAATTATTTCCGTGTAACCTTTTCCGTTTTCTAATCAATTTGGTCATGTTTCCAGCAGTATGTATTTTTGTGCTTATTATAGATTACAACATATATTGCCTCCTAGACGTGAAATCTGTGTATCGCAGGAAAACTGAAACATAGCATGTATGATGCAAGTAATTGGAAATCGCAATTTTTAAGTATTCAGTTTACATCATGGTTGTGAAATATCTAACATTGCATAATCATACTGCAAATTTGGTCGATTATCTCCCTTAGACCAAACGTACTGGTGTCATGAGGAAGAACTACAATTCCTGCAGTCCTAATGGCTCCTATGTAAATCAAAAGACCGGTAGATTATGAAATTAATATTTGTGATTTTCTCACTACGGATCTAAGCAATTATGAGACAATTCAAAAACTAACAATAGAAAAGTGATGTGTTTCTACATAGAAAAGTGATGTGTTTCTACACAGAAAAGTGATGTGTTTCTACACAGAAAAGTGATGTGTTTCTACACAGAAAAGTGATGTGTTTCTACACAGAAAAGTGATGTGTTTCTACACTTGTACACAGAATTATAGAATGTAGGCTCCATATTGTCAGTACACAAGTCAAATAAAATAGTAAGAACGCATGTAGTTGGTCAAAGTTCTTGTTTATTTACTGATGGTACACACTAGTTCTTCATTTGTATGGGCATACACAATGTTTCCTCAATATCATTCAAATTCTGGGCTCCATTCATATCATTGTGTCAATACCCCATTCCCATTCTATCCCCTTCTGTTTTTATTGTTTCCTCAATTTTCCCAAATTCTATCCCCTTCTGTTTTTATCGTTTCGTCAATACACCCCCCCACCCCCCCCC